TTAGAATTTACTCTTCAAACATCGAATTTACTCTCCAAATCTTGGAATTTACTCTTCAAACTTAGAATTTTCTCTTCAAATATTAGAATTTACTCTTGAAACATAGAATTTACTCTTCAAAACTTAGAATTTACTCTTCAAAATATCGAATTTACTCTTCAAATCTTGGAATTTACTCTTCAAACTTAGAATTTCTCTTCAAAATATCGAATTTACTCTTCAAATCTTGGAATTTACTCTTCAAACTTAGAATTTTCTCTTCAAATATTAGAATTTACTCTTTCAAACATATAATTTACTCTTCAAAACTTAGAATTTACTCTTCAAAATATCGAATTTACTCTTCAAATCTTGGAATTTACTCTTCAAATTTAGAATTTTCTCTTCACACAGGACGAAAAGCGCACCTTTAATATGCTATTAAAGTAGGATTAATGGTGTATTTTATTCGTGTTTAGTCGCACTTAATGCGTTTTATTAAAGAGATTAAAGGTGCGTTTCAACACCTTTAGTTCGTTGCATTAAGTGTATTAACGACCACATTAATACCCAGAGATTAATGTTCAATAAAGGATACTAAGTGTGCATTTAATTCGGGCGATTAAAGACCGATAAAATGCGGTTAAATATGTATTTAGTCGGCTTTAATATTGGTAGAATTGTTGATTAAAGACAACTTTAATCATACAAAAATGTGTTGCTTATGGGTTATTAAAGGTAAATTTAATCAGTTGATTAAAGACCGCTTAAAGCGATATAAAGAATGAATTAATCACATTTCATACATTGATTAAATTTTGTGTAAATGCCATTTTAGTTCTATTTAGTCGCTCTATTATATTTGCAATAAGTTGCATCGCTTGTGACGTTGGGCTTTTTATTGCGCTTTTTAAATAGAAAATCTCGAATTTGTGTCATATTTTCTGACAATACAGTATTATTCATGGATCATGATTACAAAAACCCGGTCTTGCTTGCATGACTCAACGTACACGCTTCGGTAATTATTATAAGAACATGTAAAAATCAGAGTAATCATTTGTAATGATGAAATGCAACATTAACTCAAATATACAACAGGCGTTCATCTTTAAAATAAATTTATTATAACATATACATATACTACACCCGTTCATGTATGAAAATGAAACTAAAATTATATATCGAACTGAAACATTTATAATAAGCCCAGACTAATCCTTTCTCGCATAGCGTTCTCACGTACGATATTGTCATCCGTTTACAAGGAAATATAGAAAACACTATATACGAAAACGGATTTGTGCGGACAAAGACCCAGTATAAAAACGGAACCTAAAATTATCACGTTTTGAGATTGGCTTTGTAAGATAAAAGTGACTAATGTTTGTGACTCGTTCTTTAGAAAATTCTTTTCAGCTAGCAAAAATTGTTGCCAATTTATGTACAATACACTGTAAATTTCAAGGAGTCTGTATAATTAACTCCAAAATGTTATTCTGTAGTCGTTTTAGACCTTTTTGGTTACAAAATAAAACATTTTGAGTTGATTGAACTCCTTGAAATTTACAGTGTACACAGCTAAATTCACTTATATTGCCCTGGAAACGTTAAAAGGCAATTAAGACTACAACATGCAGAGCGGGCAAAGCCAAGCGAATGATGCAAATCCTTAAATTTTTAGCGCTGGTCCTAACTGGTAGCTGTTTCATAATGTATTTCAAGTAAATAACGAGCTCATTCCCTCTATATAGTGGCGGATTTGTGTCAACATCTGCGACTTGCGCTGGTCCATTTTCAACCTCATATGTGCCCAATCTGCATGGACAGTTGGCCGTGTTCGCTGGTTTGCCAGGTTCGATGGTTCCCCTTGCTATTATGAGTCATGACTCTCCTTGATAGTCCAGGCAGAAAATCCTAGTGATTCTTTATCGATTCTTCTTTGCTTTCCCAGGCAAACTTTCGCACGTTGTACTGTTTAACCCTATAAGTTTCTTCGTCCATCTAGCTCACTTCTGTCGGATGACATGTACTCCATCGTGAGGCCATCTGCCACCTTTGACACTCTTTCTTGGCTCCAGTTAACTTTATTAAGATGTTTGAATGTTCTTGCCAGTTTCTAAAAATGAACACAGATAATATTAGCAACATTATATTGTATGGTAACAGCTAATTGAAAAAAGGTTATCCTTCGAAAACCTTAAACTCTAAGCACGCAAAGAGTTGGGTTTAGGGCTTTTGATTTGGCAAATAATCCTAGTACGCTGCTATAGTTGTACATTATACTGCTTAATATGCCTTATGATCTATCTATATTGTCATAGTTACAATGCAAAATCCACAAGTTTTAGGCCTAAGGCTAAGCAAGATAGGCCGGTAAGCAAGATCTCGCTCACACTGTGTAGTTATTTTTATAGGAAAAATTGCTGCGCATTTATATAGACAAGCGGGCTGCCAGATTGCCGAGATCTTGCTCGAAAGAGGCGAGATCTCGCTTACTGGGATGGAAATTTCTGCATATAAACACTCACGAGCGGGCTATAGGCCGTTTTCCAGGATGAAAGTTCAAATATACCGCCGCAAGCTATTTTCAACTTACTGTCAAAACAATAAAATATATCAAACAGAATAACAAAATTGTCCCGGCAAGCGGGATGAATTTTTCTCATATAAACACAAGAGAAATTCATCCCGCATCTCGTACTGTCTGCAGGACAGTCTGGCTTCTATATATGCATGAACAGGCTACGAAGGCATTACCGTATTGAGGCACTCGAATGTATGAAATTAATACTGGCAATTTTAAGAAGCAGGTAATAATCAGTTGCATATAATATAATATAATTTAAAGACTAATTCCGTGAACCATTGTGCTGTATTTAGCTAAAAAATACTGGACTGACTGGACTATACAGTGATATATGTATATGTCATTGATTTTGAAAATGATTTCAAATTTGGAGCCAATATTTCAAATAAACTGTATTTTTATAACGGTCAAAGTTTTTTTATATCCATATACTGTACGAAGCAATGATGCATTGTCTGACAATTGTAAACGGAAATATACACTGTATAAATAAACGTTTCACATGTACTTACATTGCAAGCCTAGCCCTTGGGCACTCTGTATATTTTTTCCCGTTTGTCTGAGTGTCTGACTCGTCTCTCAGAATAAGATCGAGTAATGATATCCATCTTCTCGTTGAAATTCTTCAGCGCATTCTCACTCCCTGTACTTGCATTGGCTATTATTTTGTTCTCTAAGAAGCTTGTTTTCCTCTACGATATTTTGCAACAACAAAACATACTGGTCCAGTCATATCAAAATTACAGCTAGCAAGTATCGAACTGTGACTGTGACAGCTATAAAGGCCAGACGTTTATTGTAAAAGCAACGGGAATTGGACTTCGAACAATAGTTCACAGTAGGAATCAGATTTCTTCTGTACACTAGGGAGGTCACCCACGTACAAATCAAATCCGCCTTCGTCCAAAAAGCAACGAGCAAAGTAAAAATTGGGCTTGTTAACATATAACTGAGTAATCCGCAAATTGATTCCATCCATAGTTCGTCTATAATCGTAAACGGCTTATGTTTACACAGTCAGATCGAGGTTTTATTACACAGCCTACAGGGGTCAGTTACCCGACCGGGAAAAGTTTAAAATAGCGCGCGCGGGAATATAGCATACAAATTATACCTACATAGAACCTCGCAGCGACAGTTTAATACAACAACCTTCAATTCTGTAAAGCTTTTGGTGGTATACCTTGCGCAAAGCCGGTTGAAATGGCGCATTTTAACCAGCATTCCCACACAGCGAGTGGCGCACTTGCTACCAGTGGAATGCGCAACCTTCTGGAAGCTATAATCCCAGTGCCTCCATAAGCTGAACAGAATTGTCAATTGTCTACCTACAAAATAGCGACGTCTCAATACCAAATTACACCGAGGAACGACGTCTTAAACGCAACAGACGTAATGAAAGTTTGTGCCGAGAAAGAGTTTGGAAATGCCAAACAAAGGCGTCTCACGAATAAAATAAAGAGTCAGATTGAGAACGAGACCAAGGCCGTATATCTCAGCTACGATCGAGGGCAGTGTATTATGACCTATTATTTTATTGGAGAAAGTGGAAATACGAAAGATCCTTGTGTAGAACGACTAGCTGTGTGTAAGTACATGTAGAAATTGTATGTAGTTCATATACAAAATAAAGAAATTGTCTATCTGAAGCTGGATAGCTAAAAATGATATACTCAGCTTCTGTTTTAGGTATTTTGCCTTTGGCGATAAAATTATATTTGTATATTTATATATGTCAATAGAATCAACTGTCCAAGCGAATTGCGCTGTCTATATAAGCGCCTAAATTCAGGTGATAGCTATAACGTATAACATTTCATGTTTATACTGTAATATTCAGCATAGCTCTAATTCTGTTAAATTATCGACAGTGTGTGTCAGGTTTTGTCTTCATTTAAGATAAAACTAAACGTGATTAAATGTTATTTCTGCCTTTAGTCAACATTTAAACTGCGCATTAAAGGTAATTAAAGTATGTGCGGTTTAATGTTGGTTTTAACTCGCTTTAATATCCTCACTAAATGCAATTAAGTGTATCAGTTTCCAAAAGTGGTGTTTTATTCAGAGTAAATGCGATTAAATGTAACTTTTTATTTAACCACCTTTAGTCAGCTTATTAAAGGTGTAAACACACATTTAATATCTTTAGTATCTTTGCTAAAGCTGATTAATGACACGCTTTTCGTCCTGTGGGAGCTACCGTAACAGTACCGTTGCCTTGATATTCTTTTTGCGACACTAATCAAGTACTTGGTGTCTCTGTGGCGCAATCGGTTAGCGCGTTCGGCTGTTAACCGAAAGGTTGATGGTACGAATCCATCCAAGGACGTGCTTCAAACCCTTCTGACGAGCAGTTGTAACTGCGACAAAAAGTAAATTTTACCAAAGAAAATGTTTCTAAAAGTTTCTAACAGAAAACACATGCTATTGTGGGCTCGGCACGGGAATCGAACCCGTAACCTCTCCCACCCAAAGCGAGAATCATACCATGACCAGCAAGCCATGCTTGTCGGAAAAAGGGAGAAGTTTCCTTCACTGAGTTCGTGAATGAGAGAAACCTATGCTTGGGAGATAATTTTTTACATCTAATTTGAAAACAAAATCACAAATACATGAACTTTTCTCAGCTGCTGTGATCGTATAGCGGTAAAAAAATTCCCTCATTTCCGTGCAAGTCCACAATGTGAAGGAATTTCTGTTTCAAACATCTATTTGTAATTTCAAAATCAAATCTAAATATGGAGAGGGTATGATTTTCAGGGCTTGCACGGGAATCGAACCCCTGACCTCTCGCACCCAAAGCGAGAATCATACCACTAGACCAGCAAGCCATGCATTACTAATTTATTTTGTAGGCTTTCCCCCAAATGTCATTATTTCGCAAATAAAAAATAGCTTGAGTAAATTATAAAGAGAAGACCAGTTTTTTCGAGACACGAGCTACCTCACTTGATATTCTATTTGCGAAATCTAATCAAGTACTTGTCGTCTCCGTGGCGTAATTGGTTAGCGCGTTCGGCAGTTAACCGAAAGGGTGATGGTTCAAGTCCATCCTGGGATGTGCTTCATACCATTTTGAGGAGTAGTCGTAACTGCAACCATAGCCTATTGAAGGGGAGATGGCTGTGAAACTCATTAGAATAACAATGTTATAACTCATTATCTATGTTGGTCAACGTTTATTCATAAATCTGGTCCTTCACGGTCACGTGTGTATTGTATTTTTACCCAACTAATCAATGGAAATTTGTGCACTCGGATTCTGTATAATGAGGTGATTACCCAATAAAAAGCTTAGTTTCAATCGCTGAACTGTAATATTTGAATATTAATAAACGCAAGACAAAAGATGTGTGCACTCGGAATTACATTTCAACATCAGTTGAAGTTTGAATAGGAAATTCTTTGAAGTTTACCGGCCTTCCTAACCATGTTTATTTCTATTAACTATGCTGCAACGTAAAATAATTTTTGCGACGGAAACCTTTTCTGAAAATTTCATATTTTCAAATACATGTTTGAAACAGAAAACTCTTGACATTGTGGGCTTGCACGGGAATCGAACCCGTGACCTCTCGCACCCGAAGCGAGAATCATACCACTAGACCAGCAAGCCATGTTTGTTGGAATAAGCGAGAAGTTTCCTTCACTGAGTTCATGAATGAGAGAAACGTATGCCTGGGTGATAATTTTTGACCCAGGTTCAAATCCTGCTCACGCGGCACATATTGACGTGTTTGAAGAAATTTGCGATTCATTATTTTGCAAAAATGGCTCGAGTACATTATAAAGGGAAGACCAGTGTCGCTGCTTCAGTCAAGCAAGAGGATCTCCCGTTGCCCTGATATTGGCGAAACTAATCAGGCTCTAGTTGTCTCTGTAGTCTGTGGCGCAATCGGTTGGCGCGTTCGGCTGTTAACCGAAAGGAGTACCCAGAATTAGAGTTGCGCCATTGTTTATATTGACTGGATATGGTGCATGTGTAAGCCAAAACATGGAGTAGAGTTTTTAAAAGACTCTCCGCTCGGGGAATTGCGTGAAATATTACCCTCAGTGATGATATTTCCCTAGGGCATATGCATAATTTTAAGTAATAACATGCCGAAATTCCCTACTCCGAGACTTTGTTTATACTGAAGATCATATTTTTACAACTTCACTTTTTTTCAAAATTTATTCAAGAAGCCGGTCCTTGCCAACCAACTAATTGCTTTCAGTTTGCAACAATTTTGATCAATTAATAATAATTCATAAGCAAAAAGTAACCCTTTATACACTTGTTAACAAGCTTCCAGTATTATTGCAGTACAAATGTCAGGGCAAATACTACAAAGGTAAGCACTGCCACTTATATTTCTCTTAAATCTAGTATGTGGTTAGTACACCAGGTGGTTCGTTTGTCCGTCTCTTGGTCACTACAGGTTTCTGACGTTGCCTCCCAACTTCTGTATAGTATGCTCGTCTTTGTGTTTGCATTTGAGCATTGTAGTACGCAACAGATCCTGGTTCATCCATCAAGTATTCCAGTTGTAATCGATCAAATATTTTTCTCCTGCTCATCTTCAATGGCGATACTCTTTCTTGATTTTCTTTCTGTACTCTCTGTCTCAACACTGTTTTCGTTTTCATCACCAAGATAACACTCAGGGTACCAAATATCAAACTCTGTGACAAGTTTCTTACAACATTGACTAGCTAACAAGTTTTTCATAACATTGAATATCTGACTTAACGCTACGCAACTCATAACGCTTGGTACTGTGTCTTCAATTCTTGGAATTTCTGTAGATGTTGGAATTCTTCGTCTATGACTTCTTTCTCGGTTCCGGGAGAACTGATTCGTCCATTCCTTGACGTTCCTCATGATCCTCAGGGACAGTTCTCGGGAAGTATTCTTTTTATCTCGCAAATTATTGTATTTTTATCCTTTCCGGTTTTGGCGCAATGGGTTAGCGCGTTCTATAAAAAACATACTTGCAGGGAGGCGAGTCCGGGATTGGACGCACCGAGGGTGGCTTTCTAAAAATTTCAAAAACAACATGTTTGAGACAGAAAACTCATGCTATTGTGGGCTTGCATGGGAATCGAACCCGTGTTCACTCGCACCCAAAGCGAGAATCATACCATGAACAGCAAGCCATGCTTGTCGGAAAAAGCGAGAAGTTTCCTACACTGAGTTTGTGTATGAGAGAAACCTACGCTTGGACATAATTTTTTACATCTAATATGAAAACCAAATACATGAACTTTTCTCACCTGCTGTGGTCGTATAGCGGTCAAAAAATTCTCTCATTTCCGTGCAAGCTCACAATGTGAAGGAATTTCTGTTTCAAACATCTATTTGAAATTTCAAAATCAAATCTAAATATGGAGAGGGTATGGTTTTCTATTTCATGTTTGAAAAAGAAAATTCATGACATTCAGGGCCTACACGGGAATCGAACCCGTGACCTCTCGCACCAAAAGGGAGAACCATACCACTAGAAACCACTAGAACAGCAAGTCATGCTTGTCGCATTAAGGGAGAAGTTTCCTTCACTGAGTTCGTGAATGAGAGAAACCTATGCTTGGGAGAGAATTTTTGAGATCTGATTTTAAAACCAAAACACGAACTAAACCAAATACACGAACTTTTCTCATCTGCTGTGATCGTATAGTGTGACGTACATACATTGCGTTGTGGCCACATTAATCAAGGTTCGAATCCTCGTCACGGCACATATTAACGTGTTTGAAGCAATTTGTGGCTTTTTCCCCAATGTCATTATTTCGCAAATAGAAAATAGCTTGAGTAAATTATAAAGAGAAGAAGACCAGTGTTGCTCGCGCCTCAAGCAGCAACAGGAGCTATCGTTACGGCACATATAAGTTATTAACGTGTTTGAAGCCGATTTGCGGCTTTTTCTCTGATACTAATCAAGCACTTGTCGTTTCTGTGGCGCAATCGGTTAGCGCGTTCGGCTGTTAACCGAAAGGTTGATGGTTCGAGTCCATCCAGGGACGTGCTTCATAACATTTTCAGGAGTGGTCATAACTGTAGCGTAAAGTAAATTTTACGACGGACGCCTTTTCTGAAAATTACAATTTCTATAATAAATTACATTTGAGGGCTTGCACGGGAATCGAACCCGTGACCTCTCGCACCCAAAGCGAGAATCATACCACTAGACCAGCAAGCCATATTTGTCGGATCAGTAAGGGAGAAGTTTCCTTCACTGAGATCGTCGGAATGAAAGAAGCCTTTGCTTGGGAGATAATTTTTGACATCTGATTTTAAAACCAAATACACGAACTTTTCTCAGCTGCTGTGATCGTATAGCAGTAAAAAATTCCCTCATTTCCGTGCAAGCTCACAATGTGAAGGAATTCTGTTTCAAGCATCTATTCGAAATTTCCAAATCAAATCTAAATAAGGAGAGGGTATGATTTTCTATTTCATGTTTGAAAAAGAATATTCATGACATTCAGGGCTTACACGGGACCTCTCGCACCCAAAGCGAGAATCATACCACTAGACCAGCAAGCCATGCTTGTCCGATCAGTAAGGGAGAAGTTTCCTTCTCTGAGTTCGTCAGAATGAGAGAAACTATGCTTGGGAGATAATTTTTTACACCTGATTTTAAAACCAAATACACGAACTTTTCTCATCTGCTGTGATCGTATAGTGGTCAGTACATTGCGTTGTGGCCGCAATAACCCAGGTTCGAATCCTGGTCACGGCACATATTAAGGTTTTTGAAGCAATTAATATATATTTGCGGCTTTTTTCCAATGTCCTTATTTTGCAAATAGAAAATAACTTGAGTAAATTATAAAGAGAAGACCAGTGTCGCTCGTTCCTCAAGCAGCAACAGGAGCTACCGTTGCCTTGACATTCTTTTTGCGACACTAATCAAGAACTTGTCGTCTCTGTAGCGCAATTGGTTAGCGCGTTCGGCTGTTAATCGAAAGGTTGATGGTTCGAGTCCATCCAGGGACGTGCTTCGTACCATTTTGACGAGCAGTTGTAACTGCGACGAAAAGTGAATTTTACCAAAGAAAATATTATCTTTCTAAAAATTTCAAAAACAACATGTTTGAAACAGAAAACTCATGCTATTGTGGGCTTGCACGGGAATCGCACCCGTGACCTCTCGCACCCAAAGCGAGAATCATATCACTAGACCAGCAAGCCATGCCCAATAAGCGAGACGTTTCCTTCACTGATCGAGTTCGTGAATGAGAGAAACCTATGCTTGGGAGATAATTTTTAACATCTGATTTTAAAATAAAATACATTTATCACTTACTTACTGAAACCGAGGGAAACAGTGTGTTTTGTGGGCCCGAGACCGCCGTTGTTGCCCGAAGCGAAGCCGCGGACCGGCACGTGATACGGTTTTGACCAATCGGCAAACAGAAAAATTGGACTTTGACACCAACTATATAACAATAACGTTTATACTAAGCTGCCGTGATAGTATAGTGGTCAGTACATTGCGCGTGGCCGCAATAACCCTGGTTCAAATCCTGGTCACGGCCATTTCCAATTGAAGAAAATTATACATTTATTTTGCACACATTTATTCTCCAGACCGCAATGTCATTATTTTGCAAGAATAAAATGGCTTGAGTATTACACATTATAAAGAGAAGACAGTGATGCTGCCTCGGCTGTTAACCGAAAGGTTGATGGTTCGAGTCCATCAAGGGACGTGCTTCATACCATTTTGAGGAGTAGTCGTAACTGCAACGAAAAGTAAATTTTACGACGGGAAACCTTTTCTGAAAATTTCATATTTTCAAATACATGTTTGAAACAGAAAATTCTTAACTTCGAGAGCTTGCACGGGAATCGAACCCTTGACCTCTCGCACCCAAAGCGAGAATCATACTACTAGACCAGCAAGCCATGCTTGCCAGTATAAACGAGAAGTTTCCTTCACTGACTATGTGAACGAGAGAAACCTGTGCTTGGGAGATAATTTTTGACATCTGATTTTAAAACGAAAGACATTAACTTTTCAGTCAGCTGCTGCGACCGCAATGAGATCCTTCATTCCCGTGGAAGCCCTCGATGCCAAGAACTTTCAAATATGTTTTGAAATTTTAAAGTCCAATCTGAATATGCATAGAGACAATTTCTCTCTCTATATCTTGATTGGATTTTGAAAATTTCCAATACATGCTTGAAACAGAAAATTCTTGACATTGTGGCTTGCACGGGAATCGAACCCGTGACCTCTCGCACCCGAAGCGAGAATCATACCACTAGACCAGCAAGCCATGCTTGTTGGAATAAGCGAGAAATTTCCTTCACTGAGTTCATGAATGAGAAAAACCTATGCCTGGGTGATAATTTTTGACCCAGGTTCAAATCCTGGTCACGGTACATATTGACGTGTTTCAAGGAATTTGCGATTGATGAAAAATTGCTCATCTTTTCTTTGCCGCTATGTCAATATTTTGCAAAAAGAAAATGGCTTGAGTACATTATAAAGGGAAGACAAGTGTCGCTCCCTCCTCAAGCAAGAGGATCTCCCGTTGCCCTGATATTGGCGAAACTAATCAGGCTCTAGTTATCGCTGTGGCGCAATCGGTTAGCGCGTTCGGCTGTTAACCGAAAGGAGTACCCAGAATTAGAGTTGCGCCATTGTTTATGTTGACTGGATATGGTGCATGTGTAAGCCAAAACATGGAGTAGAGTTTTTAAAAGACTCTCCGCTCGGGGAATTGCGTGAAATATTACCCTCAGTGATGATATTTCCCTTGGGGCCTTGCACTTGGGAAAATGCATCATTTTAAGTAATAATACGTCGAAACTCCCTACTCCGAGACTTTGTTTAAACTGAAGATCATATTTTTACAACTTCACTTTTTTTCAAAATTTATTCAAGAAGCCAGTCCTTGCCAACCAACTAGTTGCTTTCAGTTTGCAACAATTTTGATCAATTAATAATAATTCATAAGCAAAAAGTAACCCTTTACACACTTGTTAACAAGCTTCCAGTATTATTGCAGTACAAATGTCAGGGCAAATACTACTACATACATACAGAACGTGTTTTGATAATAGAGCAACAAAGGTAATGCACTGCCACTTATATTTCTCTTAAATCTAGTATGTGGTCAGTATACCAGGTGGTTCGTTTGTCCGTCTCTTGGTCAGTACAGGTTTCTGACGTTGCCTCCCAACTTCTGTATAGTATGCTCGTCTTTGTGTTTGCATTTGAGCATTGTAGTACGCAACAGATTCTGGTTCATCCATCAAGTATTCCAGTTGTAATCGATCAAATTTCTCCTGTTCATCTTCAATGGCGATACTCTTTCTTGATTTTCTTTCTGTACTCTCTGTCTCAACACTGTTTTCGTTCTCATCACCAAGATAACACTCAGCGTACCAAATATCAAACTCTGTAACAAGTTTCTTACGACATTGACTAACAAGTTTTTCACAACATTGAATATCTGACTTAACGCTACGCAACTCATAAAAATCAGCTCGGTACTGTGTCTTCAATTCTTGGAATTTCTGTAGATGTTGGAATTCTTCTTCGTCTATGACTTCTTTTTCGGTTTCCGGGAGAACTGATCCGCCCATTTCTTGACGTTCCTCCTGCTTCTCTTCAAGTAGCTTTTTGACTTTGTCCAGTTCCACTTTAGTTGTATTGATCCTCAGGGACAGTTCTCGGGAAGTATTCTTTTTTTCTCGCAGAATTTCTAGAAAGAAAATGTTATGATTCTTAGCTTGTTCATAGAATGTTTGTGTGTCATAAAACTACCTGAAAAATAGAACAAACTTCGACGTTTAGAGTGAAGGCCCTTCGTCGGGCCTAATAGGCAATTCCAGGTATAGACTAAATTTTGATCTAGGCAAGAAGAACAAAATCCATTAAAATTAGTAAAATTGCAAAGTTTGGTTGCTATTAACAAATATACAAAATTTACGAACTTCACAGGGCTATATTTTCCTCATTTTACAACATTTCGTAACCAAACTTTGCAATTTTGCTAATTTTAACATGCTCTTTCTAGCTGTGAGTGTATTTCAAAGCCTATATATTGTTCTATATGAGGTCACAAACCATGGCTCGCTGCATACCAACTCAAAAATTGAGTTCCCCAGGAAAAGTGGACCTGTTTTCTTTGCTCGCAGCAACTACTAACTATATATAGCTCCAAATTAACAGTCTCGCACACCAAATATTTTCGGTTTTCACGCGCTTTTTTTCCAAGTCTCTCCAAAATATAATGACGGTGCATGACCTGTTCATTCATCGGGAATTCTACACTCCTCCAATGATCGTTACCTTTGTTCTCGTGTAATATTCTACTGATCTCACTCCCTCGTTCTTGTTTAAATTCTACAAACGCTTCAGACTTTGGTGGTGGTGTTGTTGGCCTGAGACTACCCTGTCGTTGTGTTCTTGTGCCAGTTGTTGCAGTACTCTTGCCTTCATCTTGTCCTTGTGTTTCCACACGTTTTGGTTCCGTTGGATCAACGACGTCTTTACCTCGACGACTTTTTATTTTCCCTCTCGTCGCTAATAAAACCATAGTGTTGGCTTTGATAGGTGCAGACGCCACACCAACGCCAAACCCTTTACCATCAGGTTCACCAAGTAACTTAGCGTCTTGACCAACAGGCGCTGTTGGTCCACTATCTGAAATGAAAAAAGACGACACGAATTAAATTGTTCTGCCTTGTAAAAAAATAATTTCTCTCAATTTGTCAGTTTGATCTAATATCCATGAGCAAACGCACAATATATGGTTGGTTATACTGTAAACGTCCATTAATTAAATCAATGTTCGTGATTTCAAAAACAGTCTCGTAAACTAGAATTTAGGCCTGTTTTATACGTCGAATTTCGGTCGAGTCGAATGCAATTCAAACAATAGATAATGAAGCTTAATGAGGTTTATCATCTCATTATCTATTGTTTGAATTGCATTCGACGCGACCAAAATTCGACGTGTAGGCTAAAACAGGCTTAAAAGTACATAAAAATAGTGACTTAAAACCAGTGGCGGACACTAGGAGTAACTTCTCACTCAATAATTTCAGAAAGCCTTTGAACGATAGCTGAAAAGCTGTGTAACAATAAACTTTTATGTAGATAATAGATTTTCCCGGAATATCTGTGTAACAAAAATATCTGTGTAACAAAGCTGTAACAATAATTTTTCAAACATGAAATGATGAAAGCATTCAATTTGGTAAGCTATAAATTCAACAAGGTATTGTATATGATTGGGTATTTAAGGGGGAAAATCTAACTTAAAGTGTCCGTCACTGCTTAAAACGCTGAAGGTTGTTAAAAATTCTGTTACTGATCATGATTTTTAGTATGGGCTATAAATCTACCAAGATGTCAACGTACCACGAACGTCCTGATTTTCAACCAACGTTTTTTCTTGAAAAATGTATTTTTCTCTGAGCCGTTTCTCCGTCTCCTTTTCAACGTTATGCACACTATTTCGAAATATTTCCAACATTTCTTTAATCTGTCGCACATTCACGATCTCCATCTCAGCAATTTCTCGCGCTATGTATTTTTCCACTTGTCGTTTCAACTCGTTTTGTTGTGTCTCTGACAGTGGTTCATACACAACCTGACCTCTGTTGGTCAGTGTATCATGCATTGCAAGCTCATTCTTCAGGAATTGTATTTCTTCTTCATACTGCTTGCATTGCTTCACTGGATCAATAACTTCAATTATAGCAGGTTCACAGTAAACACTTCTCATTCTTGCTGCAAACCGCAAAGTCGAGAGCTACATTGTAAAAAATTAAATATAACTTGAATAAATGACTGCAAAATGGTTGAAACATTGACTTGTTGCCCAACTAAATGTTTTTGTATACTAGAGTCATGTTTCAAGCAGTGCTGGAAAATGTTCGGCAGCATGCACTAGCAACGCCGCTGCATACCAGGCAATTTTTAACAAAATATCTTCGCAGGAAATTTTTTTATATCTTGCAGGAAATTTTGTCATCTTACAGTATATATTGGAATGTCATATAATTTACTTATTTAATTTAAAAATTCCAAAAGTACATATATTTTGAAAGTCGAGATTGTCTTATGTCGAGATTGAAGCCACAGCACAACACGTCTTCTGAAATCTACATAACTATTTTATATTTTATATTTTATTACACAAAAAAATTTTATTTTTGGATTTTGCTGCCAGGAAGCCGGAGAAATATATTTTCCAGGTCTGGTTTAAAGCCATAGTTTTATTACACTTGCGCATTTAAAAAATGGTTAATTAACCATGCAAACGGCAAACTGCCCATGTCTCTTTTCAGTCGCAAGTATTTGTTAGCGACAGGCCCAATGCAGCAAAAATAAACATACCGTCTCTTCAAGTTGACTTTCCTCACCCCACATATTCGCAATGAGGACAGTGTTATTACGTCCACCAATGGAATCACTCAGTACATGTGTCAGCTTACTTTGACGATAAGGGACGTGTTTTCTTTTCCTATCGCCCAAAGCAATCACGACTTGTTCCAAGAACGTCAATGACTTGTTAATATACATTGCTTCTCGTTGACCAGTTTCTTCTGGTTCAGTTTTTCCAATACGTTCAGAACCGGCCAGATCAACCAAATTAATCTTGGATACAGTGTATTTTGCACTGGAAACCACTCTGGATCGCGTCTCGATGTATATCGTAAATATACAATGAGAACGGGAAGAGCTGCGGTTTAGGTAATGGCTCGCTACAATCCGGTTCATTTCTCCCTGAGAGAGAAAATACGCTTTACTTTTTTATCTCTACTTTAAACTCCCTTATAGCTTTAAGGTGGCTCCATGAGTTCCGTAGTATAAATGCCTTATTGCGTAAAAATTTCAATTTATAAATTTTATCACTCCATCTATTAATTTTAAGCATTGCCGAGTATAAATTAAGTATTTGGTAGAAAAAAATTGCAATATTCTTGAACATAATATTGTTTCCATGGTAACAGTAGCCTCGCCAAATATGGTATTTTTTGCTATTTTAGGCAGGTTTTTATTCTTTATTTTCCGAATATTGCCGGTGACCCCCAATTTTTAACTGCTGTATAGCTTTCACTTATAATAAGGAATCTTATCCCTGAAAATAAAATAATTCTGTAGATTAGAACAGCCAGAATAAAAAATTGCGGATTTAAAGTTTTCCAATCTACAGATTTTTTTTAAATTTTGATATTCTATTTGTTTTAAAAGAAGTTATCCTTGCGCAAAATTTCATCACATGTCACCGTGCAAAATTTTGAATTACGCCGTTTTATTGTGGTATCTCACTCGCTCGGCCGAAAGTTTTTCGAGCTCTGCAAGATCAATGAATTGACATGCGCGTACATGCTTTCGCAGGCATCTCCAGAAAAACACGCACAAAAAGTTTTTAGTCCTGTCGAAATATCAAATATATGTTGTGTTTTCTTGCTTAGACTGCAAATATATTTAGTTTTGCATGCTAACTCGCGGGATATCGTCATGAAACAGGTGATTGTGTCGTTTGGTATAAGATATGTGTGGCACGTATGAACTTTTTGGCTTCTGTACATGATAGTTATATTCGTTTTCAGTCGTAACTTGTGTGTTTTCATGTTGTTGTTGACAATTTTAAACAGTTTGAGCCGGCGTATGATGCTGTTTGACTGGATTCCTTTGCTGTTAGTGACACTTTGAGTACATTTACCAGTTGTAAGTGCAAAAAACTCTGGATATGAACTTATAAGTCGCCAAATATTGGAGTAAAAAACGTTTCGCCGGTCGGGCCGATCGCCGGTTTTCACAAGAGTTCGAACGTTAAACACTGCATTTTTTTACCTTAAAATATCTTCTAAAAAGACTAGCTATTCAATGTTCAGGGCTAAATCAGGACGAAGTTTGTTCTTTGAGAACAAATGAGAACAAAAAAGACTCAAAACATCAAAATAAACATGACTTGTGATTCGGATTTTAGACTGAAAAAGTTATATTTATTTTTGCAGATATTTGTAATATTTTCGCGCGAAAACTCAAGATTAGGTACCAGTCCCCCAATGATGAAAAGTGTATGGAGCCACCTTAAAAATGAATAAGCGAAAATTAAATTGCCACCAACCATCTTGTGAATAAATATTACGGAACTAAATAGAAATCAGACATAGTATTATACTACAGTACGGTGCCCTGGAGCATGCGCAAAACAAGTGGAATAACAAGTGCGAACGGAAGTCATACTATTTTCCATTAAATGACAGTAATGACTATACCAAGCCGGCTTATTATTTTGAACAAACTAACAAGTATACAGGCTAACAAACTAACTGACGACGTGCAGTAGTTGTATCGTGATTGTATTAATTCAGGAGTCATTGTAAATTTCGGAACTCGGCGAAAAAGTATAATTATCGGTATTTTCGCTAACCAATCATGTTGCTTTTTTATTTTGCTTCAGTCGCGCGAAAAGCGTACTTATAGACATAGTGTCAAGAATTTAGATCCCTTGCCGCTCTGAAAACATAATAATACTAACCGATTTTAAGCAAACAACTGCAGGCCTTGCCTAGTTTTCTTATCCCAAATTCGCGGTCAGACTGTCAGTTTAATACATATAATTATATTCAGGGTTCGTACACCTTCTCCCATTTAAAATCCATGACTTTTCCATGACTTCCCATGACCATTTTTTTCAAAATCCATGACCTGGAAGTATGGAATTTCTGAAATTCGTTAATATTTTAACGATAACAGATATAATAAAAGAACAAAATTCACTTTGCTCTTGCAAAAATCCTTATATAACAACAATTCATATAATATATCGTTATGACTGGTAAATTGAAATAAGTAAAATACTTTTTTAATGTTTTGTAAAATTTCAATTTTCCATGACTTTCCATGACTAAAATTGATTTTCCAGGATTTCCAGACCTGGATTTTGGAATATTGAAATTCCATAACTTTCCAGGTTTTCCAGGACCCGTACGAACCCTGTATATTGTTTTTCATTTGATCGCCTCCAGCAGCTAAACGGCTTCAACGGCTTGTTACGGCTATCTTTAAAACGCGGAACGGGGAATAGAGGAAGGGAACGGGGAAGGGAACGGGGTCATTCCCCATTCCCTTCCTCTATTCCCCGTTTTAAAGATAGCCGCTTGTTACTGGGCCACTACATTAACACCAAACGCTAAGCTGACACAGACCGGACGCGATTCGACAATGCCGCGCGATTTTTCGACTTACAGGCACTGACCGACAACTTTGATCCTGGTTTAAGTTTTTCAAATATTTATAGAAGCGCTATAACATTTTGAGTTATTTTCAAAAACTGAAAAATTGCGTCGCGTTGTCGAATCGCGTCGAAGTATGGATGATTGCACATCACGTGAGTGATTCCATTGAATTTTGGCAATTTATTCGATATTGCAGTGAGTAGAACCATAGCCTATCGAAGGAAAGATGGCTGTGAAACTCATTAGAATAACAATATAACTCATTATCTATGCGGTTAGTCAACCTTTATTCATAAATCTGGTCCTTCACCGTCACGTGCGTATTGTATTTTTACTCAACTAAGGTAACCAATAGCAATGTACGTTTTAGGAAACTTACCGTCTATCCATGACTCGAACTCGGGAAATTGCTATTGGTGGATTTGACAAAAATACAATACACACCTGACGGTGAAGGACCAGATTTACGAATAAACGTTGACCAACATAGATAATGAGTTATATTGTTATTCTAATGAGTTTCACAGCATCTTCCCTTCGATAGGCTATGGTAGAACTAAGGCCCATTTTATTGTTTGATGAGGTTTGTTATCTCATTATCTATTAATTGTCTTAATTGTATTCGACGCGATCAAAATCGACGTATAAAACAGGCCTAACTTCTACTCACTGACGAAGCGAAATTTTTTCTAGCAATTGCCTAATTTATCTTTATTGCGCATGCACAAATTCATCATTCACGAGAAAAAGCGCTGGTGGAATTTATAGACGACCTTTACGGATGCTTAGTGAGCTGATTTTTATCAGTGATTTTGTCATAATTTCTGAAATAAATTGAATGATAGCTGGCTGAATAATCAATTGTCTCAATCAATTCCACGGGTGCCCATCCCCGGGCGTTTGTCGGGCATCAGTGTCATTTTGGCAAAAAACCGTTGCAAATGCCCCACTATGGCAACAACAAAATCTCCATCCTTGGTGACTTACATTGACGCAAATACCCCACCCTTTCCCAACCTCGTCCCCCAGGGTCTTCCTCGTTATGGTACATGAGCTGAGTGCCATAACAGGGAAAACATATCCTGGGGACGAAGTTGATAATTTCCATAGTCCTTTAAAAGCTCTAATGTGAAAGTCAGTAAAATGTGTTTGTGTTAACATCGAGTTCTGCCATCTACAAAATCGTTAAATGGTTTCAGACTTTGTTATGCTTTTCAGTGTGTTCCTAACAATCGTGAAAATGAAATTTTGTTTTTCGTGACTCATGAAATCTAAAAATAATCTTTGTGATTTTGTGACAAGACCCCCTTGCCCCCCTCATGCATGCAATGCATGCGGACAAGTACATTACATTTACTCCAGGACTTTTTACTTTTTTGTTTTACTGTAGAGTGAACTACTTCTACCTATGCTCTGAAGTACAACATCAAAGTCATTTAGTAACCATTGATTTGGAGTGACCTACTAATTCAATTAATGAAACCAAACACATTGATGACTGCAGAGATCGCACTACAAGGTTTTTTAATTAGCTAGTACAGCATACAATGGCAATTCATGCTTTCCAATTTTTATAGTATAAGGTTGATCTGTATTCATCAGATTGCATTAACAACATGCCAGCTCTGGCTGGGGGCGGCATGATACACACAAAATGTCAAAATTGGAAAAATTGGCCAAGCTTAATCAGATCAAGGATGCATATAAATGTAAAAGGTCTGAAATTTTAATTATTTTACCATGCAGTCAAACTGCTAGTTCGATCAGGCATTTGGAGAGGGAGCATTCATTATTTATGGTTTGGAGGGGGGAGGGGTGAGGGGGGGGGTGTGAAATCATAGGGGCAGAAAAAGTTTGGTGTTTGCTTTTGGAGGGGTCACCAGAGTTTGAGGAGTAATTGAGGGGGGGGTCATGAAAGTTTTAGTGACTGGCAATGTTTTGATCTCTTTAAAATATGTTATTATAGAACATGAAAATGTTGGTGTTTCCTTGGCGGCAGGGGGGAGGGGTCATGTGAGTTTTGCTGTTGCCAGACGGGGGGTCATGTACATATTGAGAGGGAGGAGGTGTGAAATGCACTCCCCCCAACCATAAATAATGAACACTCCCTAAGTATATACCTACCTCAAAAAATAGGTTAAGAGCTTCCTCTTCTGTGTTTGCTATATGAACAGACAGCCCCTTGACCCGACAGCTTGTACCTTCATCCTCGGTTACTGTGAATGAGCTAGGGTCAACAAATGGTGTGCCTGGTATTGTAGCAAGTAAATCAAACATTGATTCATTATAGATTTCTAAATAAGAAATTCTGACCCATATTGACTGTTCTCTGCGGTTTGATATCTCTGAGAATATTTTAGAGACTGTTCTAGGAATGATCCCACGTTCTTGAAAATTCTCACAAGATCCACTCATCGTAAAACTTTTCCCTGCGCCCGTCTCGCCATACGCTATGATTGTTGAATTAAAGCCATCTAGGGATTTCATAATAGGCTCCTCAGCACACTTCTTAAATACTTCAGGCTGACTGGCATTGTGCAATACGTGATCTGTTTGGTAAGTCCAGTCTAAAATCTGATTGTTGATGTAGCCCCGCCGTTCATCTTTTCTCGTGTGAATTGTTAATGATTTATTGTCAGGATGAAGTTCAATCGTTTCAGCAGCGAACTTGGAAGTAGGTCGTATACGAGCAAACACTTTAACGCCATGATTTCCACTCATTTTGTGTTAAATCTCGTTGAAAACAACTCAAAGATGTACAATATGACAAAATGTTCATAAGATCTCTAGTTGCCAAGGAAAGCAAATGGTTACTAAGGAGTTACTAAGGTTCGTTACCATGGCGACATAATCCGCTGAACATTGATACGATTTTTGAGCCGTTTCCAAGATGGCGGCCGGAAGGAGTGAATGTGATAAAGATATTAAATTGATAGAAAAATGTCCCAAAGACAGTTTACCCAAGGTAAATCAATTATATAAAAACTCTAAAACTATAATTATATAAATGAGGAACGATTTTGATACATGTTTTTACATAATTAACATTTCAATGGGGCGTTAATAGGCATACATGATACACTGTCGAGACAGATTGACAGTCGAGTGACTGCCGCTGATGAACTAGACTAGAGAGTGCCCCTGATGAACTACATACATTCCACATTACATACAGATGATTTAATGAAATTCGGCAACTACCAGCAAAAATACAACAAGTAGTAGTTGTAGCACCAGGGAATACACCACAGGTTGAGGTTACCTCAATTATGGCAACCCCTTAATTACATAATTACATTATAGCTTTAATAAGGAACAATCTAGACAGTATAAAAAACTTAAAAAATGACATGAGACAACTAACAAATCTTAAAATACCATCCAGCAGGGTGCGAAATAACAGCTGAACGGTCGCCGGTCAAGGTGACCAACCAACTCAATTTTAGCTCGGACATACCGAATTTCTGGCCGGTCAAATTATTCAGCTTAAAGCAAAGCTTACCAAAATTATTCAGCTTAAAGCAAAGCTTACCAAAATTATTCAGCTCAAAGCAAAGTATACCACTAAAAATCTGACTATTTTCCCAGTATAGCATTACAAAAAGCCTTACTGTAATCAGTAATTAAAAAGTTCTTCACATAAAACAGCTTGCACTGCGCTAAAAGCGTCCTTATCTCTTAAGCCAAAAGCATGACCATGCATGGGTTTTGTGATGTACTGCGTGGGAAAGCTGGCGTACATTGAAGTTCTTTTCCTGCAAAACATTCGACAACATGTTATTACGGTTCTTAATTATAATACTTGACAACTTTATTTTGATTATTAATTAAAATCAAGATTATATATATAGTTTGTTCTTTTACCGAAAGTGACCAGTCAAAATGACTGGCAAGGTAAGAATTTGGCCAGACAACTCCGCATTCTGGCCGGACATTGTCCGTTGACCGGCCGTTATTTCGCGCCCTGTCCAGGTACCTGGCCCTGAGATGATCAGATCAGAGGATTTTAAGTTACCGGCCATGCTCATCAGCTTGTCACGCTTGTGAGAAAAAATATGCGCACTTGACAAATAAAATATCTAGTCCATCGGTTTATACTTCTCTTATTTTTGTAGTATTTCCTGTTTATTATTCAACTAAATAAGTCAAAGTTTTCTGCCACCACATGTTTTTTGCCTAAATGCAACTCAAATGAATCAAGGATGTTGTATGTCATGTTTACTGGCCCATTTACTAGGGTTGGGCGATATATTTTGATTTATTGCGATATTTTCATTCGCGATTATCGTATTGAAGGTAGAAACTTGAGCGACGATATATTGAAATTATTGTCATGCTCGTTGACTATCGTGATATTGCTTTGCATGTGTACATAGCTTTTATAAAAATCCTAAAAAATTCCTTCAATTCCTAGAAAATATAGTTTTTAAAAGAATTAAAACTATTTCCTGAATTAAATACAAATTTAATATGATATATTGGTTAATCCTTGTGGTTTTGGTCACCAATATACCATTCTAACTTTTATACAGTACATCCTAATTATCCCTACTTATCACTGGTAATCTAGTACTCCTTGGTAAACTTGTAATTAATCCTTGGTAATCTAGTAATCGTTGGTAATCTAGTAATCATTGGTAAGTTATAGTAAGAGTTGGTAATTAGTAATCCTTGGTAAACTATTAATTATTGGTAAGTTAGTAAGCCTTGGTAATCTAGTACTCCTTGGTAAACTAGTAATTAATCCTTGGTAATCTAGTAATCATTGGTAAGTCAGTAATCCTTGGTAAGTTAGTAAGCCTTGGTAAGTTAGTAAGCCGTGGTAAGTTAGTAAGCCGCTGAACAGTGAAATTGCAGGCTTTGCTTGAGCTGTGTGCCATGGCATTTGTGCCTGCGGAGACACAGTAGACACTGCATAGACAGTTCTGGTTTATGAACAGTAAATATTAGACTAGAAAAAGCCTTCATTAATTACTTTAATTTGTTGTTTTACTTGTTTTTAATAAGATTATATATAAGCTTACTACTGTATGCTTTGATATTACATGTTCCATATCTTTTGTCAAATGCATATACTGTAACATAGCCTTTTAAATATTTTTTAGTATAGTTTTTCATTATCTTTTCTTCCTGTGGGGTCTTGGGTTTAGATTTGTCACATTCTATTATTTTTTAAATCGAACATTCTGTGGATAAAATCCTAATGTACCACAGAATGCCAGTGCGGCAATAAGTAAGGAACGGTTTATCAAATTGTACAAGGATTTGGTATGTAATGGCAAATTCCAAAATTTATTATAAGTTTTAATTGCAGGTGTATGTACCACAGAATATTACAGTACCACAGAATACCAGTTTTTTATTTCTCTTACATATACTTTATTTTTGTGAATATATATTAGTTTTAGTCATATATTATATAAAAACGAAAAATGGATATTTTCATAAAATTCTTAAAAATAATCGGGATAAATAACAAATAAAATTCCTTATTTTTGGCACTTTTTTCTGCTTAATACCCGTAAAATCAGAAAGTTTGAAAATAAGTTCGCAAAACAACATGATTTACATTCATCAACAGTTTTCTAAGCGATACAACATTTTTAGTATTCAGGAATCCCACTGAGTAATCAAATTTACTATTTCAATTTTTCAAAATTATTGGTAAATCTAATATACTGTGGTATATACCACCAGTATTCTGTAGTGATTTTAATATTTTTACCTTCCACTAAATTAAGTTAGCAATATCTGTACAGTGTTATCACACAACATGACTGTTCCTATTACCCATTAAGTTAATTACGTTGCGCGCCAATGTGCTCTGACTTTTATTATTAGTTTACTCTAGCTAATGCCAGACAATTTTTCATATCAAGAAGAGAGTGCTGGTGCTCAGTGGGCTAAACAGCTGTCTGCCAACATTGTTTATGCCAGATATCTTAAGTCTGTGATATTATATACCAGCAGGTTTAACCCTGTATCCAACATATCTATGGGAAAAGTGGACTTATTAGTCTGGAATAAAGACATAATTGTAATTGAAAACTACAATCTTTGACAATATATATTGGGACAATGTAGTTTTCACATGCACTCGGTTGTATTATACCATTTCTTGATAATTTTTGCCACCCGGCCTCCCTCCCCCCACCCGTTTCAATGTTGGTGTCTCGCAACCAGACATCAGATTTTTGTCAGCCCAACATTGAACTGGGGGAACGGGCGTTTCAAATTATGTGAAATTACAACACATGTCCCATAGTTTTTTTGTCAAAGATTGTTTGTTAAAAGGTTGAACTTATAGTCATCATTTTGTTGAATACGGAGAATTTCTGCGTACTGCATGTATAAGACAATAGCGATGAGCTTATAACGCCCTGGCTAAATCTAGTACGCCGACGTGACAAAAAGACAGTTACTTAGTATGCTTTTCTTTTGGATTTGTTACCAGTTTATTTTTCCCTGTAATAATAATAATAATCATTAATAGCATTTCCACAAAGTGGCTTTTCTATGCTACAAGTGAGTTTGATTATACTGTAAGATAACAAAGTATACAATACATACAACAGAGTACGTAATACGACACAACAAGTATTATAATACGTAGTTTAAAATAATCCATATTTTTCCTGTGTTACTGATGCTGCGAATTTAGGGTGTGTTTTTTTTGTCACGTCCATGTACTAGATTTACCACATCTTAAGCTCTCTATTGTTTGCATATGCGTGTCTTAAGAAATAGCTAAAAACCGTCTGGAACATCACATGTATTCAAAGTCAGTTTTACATGTTTGCAGTGCTAGATTTTAGTAAGAATTCATTAAAATCCATGTCTATGGTGGCGGTATTGGGGCTCTATTTCCAGAAAATTGATAACTGAACTATCTAGCTTGTTAACATAAATTAAGCGCCTATGTGATAATGAGATCAATATACAAACGATTCTCACCACGAATTTTCACGGGCCTTACATGCTATAAAAGCCTTAATAGCAGACAATATCAAACAAATTCACCCTGTATATAGATGCATTTAAAGTCCTACATATTTTATAACATAGCACGATTTTACAAGTTTTCGTAACGAACTGACTAAGATAAGAATGATTTTCCAAGAACGATTCTCATTTTCTGTCCTAAAATATCCAGTGAGATATAGGTTTATTTACGGTTTTGTAGTGACATCGTTCAAAAATGAACTTAAAAAGGATATCTGCAAAGTTAACCGATTGTAATTAATTGTAAAATAGTTTTCTAGTACCCATATGGATATAAAAGGACAGCGTTTTAGACTGAGAATCATTAGTGAGCATCGTGTAATATGAGACCTATGTAATTTGATGACTGACTGTTTTATGAATTGTGCTATTACTGCTATATGAAAACAATGCATATTTATTTGTCTTTCTCCGCATTTTGAAATGTTGCGAAATGAGCTGTAAACGTACTCGACCCGCAAATCGATCATTTCTGAATATGCACTTCCGTTCCAGGTTCGTCTTAATGATGACTTCTTGTATCAGTACAAGGACAGCATATAACTTTTTGAGTACATTTCTCCGGATTTTTGACAAGGAAGAGAGCGATGATGATAATAGACGTGAATATAAATATGTTTATTAAGCATTATAGTACAACACGTAACTATTGGTATATAAAATGTTAAAAATAAATCCCCCCGTATGAATGGTGTGGGCGGTGTATACTGAGAACTTAGACTATTTAAGTACCAAATTCCTAGCACCATTGGTCACCACCAAGACTTAATTAAAGATTGTAGATAATTCCTGACTGGGAAGTTAGTTCTCTGAGGAACTTGCCCTTTCCTTTACAGTTCCTGATCTTCCTGGTGCATATCTGCAAATCATAGTTTTTTCCAACTTGTTTCTCTGTGCAGTTTGTGTATCAGATAAGCTAACTCCCTGACTGCAAAACGGTTTCCAAAGGCATATAAAGTTGCAGTCAGGAGCACAAATGTGAGACAAGTTGAAAATCGTTTTTTAACCCATTAAGTTGCATTAGTGTGCCCCATTTTATTATTTTATTATGGCTAATGCCAGATGATTTTACTTATCAAGGGGAGAGTGCTGGTGCTCAATGGGTTAAGCAATTTCCAAGGGTGGCCCTGCCTGCGTGCCCCTAGATTGTAGTTTGTAAGACAAATATATAATAAATACTGTAGAATAAGTAGAATAATGAAGCACATTATCTTTTTGATGATATATTCATTAGGTAATACATGGTTTCCTTGATGAAATATGTGGACAAAATGTACTTCGATTTCACGACTTTAGCAAAGTTTGGAGTATAGAGGAATGGAAACAGTTGAAATCTAGTTGGTCGTCATGTCTAAGATTATTTATTAAAGATAATTTATCTGTCGAAAATGTAAGTTTAAGTGTGGTATGCTTAGGTGTCTTCTTAGTAATGGCACTAATTTACTGTATATCTGCAGCACAAAGTTGTCAGTAAATATATCATATAATCATTTATAATATAGCATTTATAAATTCGGAACGCTGATTGGCTATTAAGAGCCGTGTTGATATAACTCAATGTCAAGACGGAAAATTTCTTTCTTTATATTTCTTTCCACGCAATTTCTCGTTTTCCCAATTTCCACTCGTGTTGATATAACTGTATATGAACACGGAAAATGTTTTATATTTGTTAAGTAGAACATGAAAACGACAATTTTGAGTCCTTTAAGGTGGCTCCCTACAGTTTTCATTGTACAGCACACAATTGTATTTAAAAAAACCATTATTTTATCATCTTGCAAAGTATGATCACGAAACTTGGCCACATAACTGCTACAATATCGCGAATCACGAAAAATTAAAAATGTCGTTAAAAATCCCAGTTGCCATGGTAACAAAGCGATTTTAAAAAGGGCCAATTTGCAGATTCTATGATACTTTTTGGGAAATTTCTTCGGTAAAACTTTTTAATTTTTTCAAAAAGCCCTGTTTTTGGAATAAAAAAATTCGGCTCGTACGATTTTCTTAAAACTTGCACATTTTACGCAATTCAAGATTACAGGAAAGTGTGTGAAGTTTTAAAAATTTTTACCGAAGGAAACACGAGAAAAATACATTTATTTTTATCTGTGTGACGTCACAAAAATCAGGATTTCAATTTCCTTGCGTGACCAGCCGACAATCCCACGAAGGCTCGCGCGTGTATATCACGACGCAATTTTACCCCCACGCGTGCAACGTCGACCACGCGTGTAGCACTACTAATCTCGCGCGTGGACAAAATTTCCGCGACACAGACCTAAAACTGTAGGGAGCCACCTCAAACAATTAAACAGATACCATTTTGTACTATAATATCTATTTCAATTTACTTGTAATGATTACTTTTTAACTGTGATAAGTTTTAGGTGTGCATGATTTTTAAACTGCATGGGGCTTTCTATTTTTTCTCTTTAGATTGAAAAACAATTAGACCAATTTTCAATATCAAAAGATATCCAAAAGATAGTAAGTGAATGTCTTAGGCCTAGAAAAGATGAAATTAGATTGGCGCTTATTGAAGAAACATGTAATCTTTCTCAAGCAATATTGAAAGATTTTGACTGGAAACTAAAAGTAAGTACTGTACAGGTCCGATTTTGCACAGGGAAATTTTGCTCTAATTTGCAACACAATTTTCAGACACAAAAAAGATGTTTTGTGTTGCAATGCTAACTATAGTATTGTCACTGCAGTGTAACATGGTCTTAAGTTATAAGGTATACTATTCATGCAGAGCGATACATTGTATTAACAATTTATGACCATTTCCAGCTCATCATGGCAACAGATAAACTAGCAAATATGAGAGAACCTGTATTATCACTTGATCTTGATATTAAAGAAAAAACTGGGATGAAACAAGTCTCAGTCGAATTAAGTAAAGATGAATTAAAGGAACTTATTACTTCGTTAGAAGCAGCTAATAAGGTATCACATTAAATTATTTATTTGGTGCATTTGTTACTCATTTGCAGTGGTGCATAAATTAGTTTGAATTTGTACTCGAGTAAAAGTAGAAGTAATTAACAGCAAAACGACTTGAGTAAGAGTAAAAAGTACTGGAGGCAAAGCGTACTTAAGTATAAAGTACAAAGTATCCTTTAAAAATACTTGAAGTAAAAAGTAAAAGTACTATTAAAAAAATAGTACTCAAGTACAGTAATAGACTTGCTCCAAGTCTCTCTTTCTCAGTCAATTTTGTCATATAGTATCGATCCACTATAGTGTACATTACATGATGTAGCACGGAGAGGCGGAGCGAGAAAGAGAGACTTGTCAACTTCGGAAAATCTCGGTTCAAAACTGAACCGAAAATATGCAAGACTTGCTTTAATTGTTTTCCTTCAATTTCTTTCTGTATAATCTACTATAATGGAACTCATGTTATTTACACTGTGCTAGATCAATGCCGTTTTTGTGACGTAATTAGATAAGAAGGGCAAGGAAATATGTTTAGGTTGAGCATGCATGAGCACAGCAAAAACGTTTGTTTAACTTTATCATTTAATGAAATATTTTAGTTGGCCTAATCATGTTCAGGTGTCTTAGACTTGGTCTGATAATTCATGTCTTTCGTTTTAGGTGGTACTGCAACTGAAAGGCTAGATTCATGGCAACCGAAAATTTTTAAATGATGTTTGCAAGCATCATTTAGTGACATTCAAACTTTAGCTAGAGTATTTGTAAATTAAGATGAAATTTCATTCTGCTTTTTACCATCCAAGCTAGCTGTAATAATTAATACCTATAAATATCAATAATGCTAACATCATCATGATTGCCCAACATTCGTTAAATTTAAATTATATTTTTGAAACTAAACACACATGAATAAGCAAGGATAAAAGACATGACACATGAAAATGTATAATCAACTTTTTGTGAACAATAAACCTGTATACAAATACCGTCAGCCTATCTATTACCACCGGATACCGGTCAGGGGTAATAACCAGATACCGGACTACTTCACTATATTTTTTTCCATAAATGCATAATGTAGTCCATTGTAATTGTTTTATCATGTGCGTTACGTTCTGTGCCTGTGGCAAAATGGTCGGCAGTAAATAATTTACATCACGAAAACATTTTCTGCACGCCCATTAAAATTTCTTATAAACATTACAAAAAAGACAAAGAAAACATCTTTCAGGTTTCATTGTTCTAATAAAAGTTCTAGTACTATTCAGTAAATATGGAATGCCGGAATTTCGATGGCAAGGTGCAAGACAGATCGGTTTAAGAAATCATAATAATAATACAATACGCATGCTAACTTGCATCCAGCATAGTATTTATTGTATTAGTATTAACAGTATTCTTGGGTTTCATATGACGTCACAGAAGTGACGGGGGGTCAACTCTAAAACATAACATAGTTATCAGAGTGAGTCGATTGCTCGTTTTATGTATTAGCCTTGTGTTTGGTGACAAATACATGGAATTTCGTATCATTTTCTTACTCCATTACAGCATGAGCATCAATACATTTGAGGTTGACCCCCCCGTCAGATTCACTGCATAATGCCGTAGTGAAACCCAAGAATATTCTAGATAAATTAATAAACGTAATTGAGATAAATTTAGTATTTTCTAGATAATTATAGACATTGTACCTTATGTAAAAGACTAAAAGTATTCAGTGTAATTCTGTCTTTGACTGCAAAACTGTGATACATTTTGAATAAACGATTATGTAGACCAGTATACTGTTACTAACGAGAAGTAATGACTTCGTCGCGACACTCTTTAATATAAATCATTAAATTCGCCTTTTATGTTTCTTTATTGCTCCATTTGGACCTAGAACCCGCAGTGAATGTAATTTATACGATGAAAGCCGGTGCGTGCTTCCGGTTCCGCCCTGCTTTCTTTATTTCTTCGCAAATGGATAAAATTATTTACAAGTTGATAAAATCATTAATATAGATATAATTACAATTGATTTTTTTATATTTAAGTTCTATTAGTCCCTGATTATTGTATTCTTATATTCTTCATCAAAGCGGGTTGGGTGGGTGAAATTTTCAGGCACGGATTTTCTGGGGGGTGCGCACCCCCCAGAAATGATTTGCACCCCCCAGAGGTATTTGGCACCGCCCCCCAAAGTTTTGCACCCCCGCAAATTATATATCTTTTGATTTGATAGTTTCATATTTGATTATTCTTACTACTAAATTTGTAAAATTACCAATATTATGGTCTCAGATCTCGCCATGCAGGCCTAGAAAACAAATTTTGTTAAACTTTTTCCTTCGCCTTTCCGGCCGTTGCCACCAGGCCCCGGCCAAAGCAAGCAGCAGCACCCCCCCAGATATTTATCCACCCCCACCCCACCCCGAACGAAAATATGAAAATCCGTCTCTGGAAATTTTCCTTTTACGTTGTCTCAAAGGCCATTGGGCATCGGCTCCATTGGAAGTAGAGTGAGCTGACATAAAATGTTGCTGATACTACTGAACTGAAGAATGTCGGCTTAGCAAAACGGGATGAATTATAATGGCATTTATGATTTATCGACATTGGACAGATTCTGGCAGTTGTTGCTAAAAGCAAAGCGTTGTTTTCATTGCTTACCGTTTCCGCCTAGGTTACATAGTTTTAGGTACGGATGTTGCGTCTTACTAATCCTAATTTACTTCGAAAATACAGTGTTCCTTAATAAATCACGCAAATCCTTTGTGGCCAAAATTGGGTGACAGAAAGTGCGGTTTCTTGGAGGTAAGGGCCCCCCAGAAAAGATGGAGAAACAACATCAGGGTGAGAGTAAGGGCCCTCGTCGTTATGGAAATTGAATCGCATGACTGAGCCGGGCTTCCCCGTGGTGAAGTGGCCGAGAGATGATGCGAAGATCCGGACGAGGACCCTCGCCGTATGGACCTTGCTTTCTTCTGCATGGTGTGCGATGTGCTTCAACTGTGGGAGAAGTGTGACTACCTAAGGGACCGGTCATTATTTATGGTGGGGGGTGGCACCGAAGAGAAATGTTTTTCGTGGCAAAAATTTTGCTGACCCAACCATTAAAATATCAAAAATTTGATTACCCAACCTCAAGTATCATTTAAAAAACAAATACCCACCCCTGGCCAAAAACGTTACAAAGGGATGTCATTCAGTTGTCACACATGACACAAGTCCTTTACCACTTCTGTGATACGTTTGATAACGTTCGCCTTGTGAATATTTGATATTTTGATAACGTTCGGCTTGTGAAATTTACTGACTTTTCTGCAGTCTAAAGTTTCATGTTGTCTGCACATTTACTTTCTTTGGAGAAACCATTTGTCTCCCAACAAATCGGAAAATGATGAAGATATAGTATTATAGATTGATTCACATATTAATGTATATTGACATATGACTGTTGACACTGAAGTTTTCAGTCATCAATATTTGAGTGAGTCATGCTTTGGAAATGACAATAAATTTTGATTACCCAACCATTGAGTTGTTTCGTTTTTCATTTACCCAACCTTTTACTCACTCAAAATTTGTTTATACAACCCTTTTCTCTTCGGTGCCACCCCCCGCCATAAATAATGACCGGTCCCTAACTCGAAAATTGAAATAATTCATCATTTTGAGAAATTTCTCAAACAGGTCAGATATTGAAGATAAAGAACTGGGGCCGGTTGTATAAAAACGTAGTTAGCGCTAACTGCAGTTAAAAAGTAGTTAAAAAGCCTTAAAAAATAGTTAACTTTAATCATGTAGTTAAGTCGGTTGTATAAAAGTGTAGTTAGCCTCGAGGTTAGCCTTAACTGCAGTTAAAAAGTAGTTAAAGTTAACTATGCTTTAGGGTATAGTTAACTGTCCAAAACGTAGTTAAAAATGGCGTTTGTATAGGAGTGAACAACATTTTTCAGTAAAACAACAATGAAAAGCAACGGTTACCTGAGATTTTCAATCGCTATCTTCCCTGTGAATGTTTCCTGACAATATAAACTCTTCAAAGGCTATCGCTTTGGTGTTTTTACGAAAACAGAACATATTTTTGCACAGGACGATTTCTCGAAGACGAAGTATGGTCCATTACACCAAGAAACACTGATATATAATTGCCAAACAGCTATACCTTGGTTCAACGTAGGCATCTCATGGAAAAACTGCATTCTTTTATATTTTTGTGGCGGTTTTTCCTTGTTTTCTTGTTTATTTTTCACTGTTTTCTAGTGTTTTGAATAAAATTCCCGTCTATTTGCAAAATACGAGTCCACAATCATGTTGAAAATGTTTGTCAGCGGTCGTTACTCGCTGCTTACTTTATGTAATTTTGTGAGAATTTTGTAACTATCCGACTAACTACGTTTTGTGCAACGCAGTTAAGCCATGTAGTTAACTAATTGCAGTTAAGGATTTAACTACAGTGATTAGCGCTAACTACACTTTTTTTTTTTTACAATTTTTTTTAAAATTAAAAAATTAAAAATTAGCGCTAATTACGTTTTTATACAACCGGCCCCTGATTATTATGGGAGATTTAAACTGTGATCTTTTAGAAGAGGACAAGTTGATTATTTTAAGGCGAATATTAAGAAGAGAAAAGTACAAAAAGAGATTCTGGATGCGAGAAATCTACAAAGAAAGGAAATCTGCGTAATCTCATTGGTTTATTGCCTGGTTTATTCCAACCACGTACGCCGTGAGTAAACGATCGCGCGAGTTCGCCTGTCGGCGCGAGCACAGAGTAAAGATATATACTCTGTGACCAGAGCGAACGTAAACGCTTACACAAGAAACCTACTGCACATGCCCAAACGAGCCTCGCTTCTACCGCGCAGCCAAAGCGGCCGTAATGGAAAACAGACTTAAAAGGCCGTTGGAACCAGAGTGAACTGAGATAAAGTTTGGCTAGCTCTCTGCCTTTTGCTGATACTACTCACTATTGAACTGAAGAATGTTGGCTAAGCGAAACAGGCTAGGGTTATAATGGCATTCATTGACACTTGACAGATGTTGCTAAAAGCAAAGCGATATTTTTCCTTGCTTATCGTTTCCGTTTAGCATTACATTTACAAGCATGTTAATGAAGCGGTTGAATATGTTGGAAAGAGACAGATAGTTAAAATCGAACAACTGGCGACTAAGCAAGACAACAATAACTTGAAACACATTTTTGTGGCATATATTTTGGGCAGAGAAGTGCTCGAAAATAGTTCCGGCCGAACTGTCTAGAGGCTCTCGCTAACCTAAGTTTTATCTAGAGAAACAGGCGAATCTTTAGACTGCAGAGGGCATGCTTGACTCTGTGCATGTCGTTCAGCGAGTTGAGACCTAGTTGGACTGGTGAACAACTATTGGTATAAGGCACATTACCCAGGGTACTCAAAACTGGCTGAGGATACATGCAAAAACTGTAGGTTGTTCTAGAGGAACAGGCGGACCTCTAGATAACAGGGGAACAGATGAACCCCCGTTCAGATCCGTCAGGTTGTCGACATTGAGACCTAGTTGGACTGGTGAACAACTATTGGTATAGGGCACATTACCCCGGGCCGCAACTGATAACCTGACTGACCACATCGAGTCTCTAGGTCTGCTCATTCGGGTCTTCAGTGCGACCTGAATGAGCAGTGATTGCGCTTCACGTGGTTAAGTGTTATCCATCGGACAGCACTTCCCTGCCAGTATATAATTATTTATTGCATTTCTTCACATAAGTGGGTTACAAATCTATGAGTAACATGCTTAGCTATATACAGGAATATTCATTTTTCTAATTAACAGTCCTTACAAGTTACAACACGCCATATTGTAGAGACGCAGATTGGTGTACATGATTATTGGCAGGTGGGTGGGTTTTTTTAAATTTCCACTTCTTTGCCAAGGTTTGGTCCCTTAAATTATTAGCCAAAAATTTTGCCAGAGATGTTAACGCACTGGCTAAAGTCTTGCGAATGAGCAGTGCACGTCGAAACTGCGATCAAAAGTCCTTGCGCAAAAGAGAGGGCCATTGTACGTATGCACGTGAAGGAAAAAACCTTCAGGATAATTTCTGATTGGTTAATCCCAAGTTTGCATCAGTTGTTCACATGCTTAGCAGCCAAAGTTCGATATTTATCAGATATTTTGTAATATTAACAGGGCTAGAAAACGGTTCCCTTGTTCTGCCAAGGTACTTGGACCTTGTACGTACCTGGTACGGATTAATTGTTGTGACGCATATGCGTTGGCAGACTGAAAACACCCTCGGGCAGATAGAGCCTTCAGAACATATTACTCCATTAACCGCAATTTATAGCTTTGCTTAAATTGATTATTTAAACTGTTAAAAGACTCCAAAGAGACAATTGCACCCTTCTTGGCATACATATTTAATACTTCCCTATGTAGTGGGATATTCTCCGATAACCTAAGGTGGCAAGAGTCTCACCAATTTATAAAGAAGGTGATAAAAAAGAAAGGGGTAATTATAGACCGATATCTGTTCTTTCAACTGTCGCTAAATTATTTGAGAAGCTCGTATGCATGCAGTTAACAGATTATCTAAATGCAAATGACATTCTAAGCCCGTGTCAGTCAGGCTTCCGTCAGAACCACTCAACAATGTCGTCCTTGTTGTCAAATAGCGATTCATGGCTAGTCAATATGGATGCTGGGCTTGTAGACGGAGTTGTATTTCTTGATCTGCGTAAAGCATTTGATACGGTTGATAATGAAATCCTCATTAAGAAGTTAAAAATTTACAGGGTTCAAAATACTGCCCTCAAGTGGTTTATTTCATATTTATTTGATCGAAAACAGTTTTGCAAGGTGGGAAGTGCAGCATCGTCAACAAAAAATATACGCTGTGGAGGTCCACAGGGTTCAAATCTCGGTCCGTTGTCATTTCTCTTGCATGTCAACGATCTCCCGAACTGTTTAAGACACACTAGTGCTAAAATGTATGCGGATGATACGAATTTGACGGCGTGTTCCGATGATATTAACAATTTACAAGCCAATTTAAATTCGGACTTGAACAATATTATCCATCAATGGATAGTAGCCAATAAATTAACTTTGAATGTTGGTAAAACAGAGTATATGATTATCGGGACACGGCAGAAATTAAAAAAATTCTCAAGTAAAATTAATATTAACATCGGTGGGAAAAACTTAACACAAGTCGTTTCTAAAAAAGTCTTAGGCATAATAATAGATGGTCAATTACGCTGGGATGAAAAAAATAGACAACATAAGTAACAAAGTATCTCAAGGCATCGGCATGTTACGACGAGCTAAACAGTTTGTTATTTATTTATTTATTTATTTATTTAGCTTTTGCCAACTAGGGCAGGGTCACCACAACAGCATATGCCAATTACTGTGGGTCCTTTTTACCTAACCCACCCTGTCAACTTTCCCTGTGGGAAGAAACCGGAGTACCCGGGGAAAACCCACGGCTTTCGGCAGAGCGTTGACTTTTACTCTTTTCACATGGGGGCTGGGTTCGAGTCGCACTGAGAAGGTACTTAGTGAGACTCGAACCTGCAGCCTCAGAGGTGAAAGGCAAGTGCGCTAACCACTTGGCCACCGAAGCCCCTACAAGCCCTGTTAAAAGAGAAACGCTTCAATTTCTTTATAATTCTATGGTTCAACCTTATTTTGAGTATTGCTCCTTGGTTTGGGGCAACTGCGACGAATCCCTGAAGGAAAAACAGAAACTTCAAAACAGGGCAGCAATGGTCATTACAGGTGATACTTATGATATACGTTCAAAAGATATTTTAAAAAAGTTGAATTGGAAAAACCTATCCGTAAAAAGAAAAGAAAAAGCAAGTGCGTATGTTTCAAAAGCTATTACCGGAAATTGCCCGAAAAATATAGCTGAAAAGTTTAAAATATCAAATTCTGAAAGATATGATTTAAGAAACAATAATAAATTTTTAGCACTGCCAAAACCGAAAACAAATATATATAATTATCTATATATAATTCTCTATCTAATTATATATATATATATATATATATATATATATATATATATATATATATATATATATATATATATATATAATTATTAAAGCGGATAAAGGGAATTCAACCGTAGTAATGGATCGATCAGATTACATAACAACAGGAAAGAAATGTTACAAGACAGTAAAGTTTATAAAAAGAATACAGATAAACGTAGAAATCCTACAACAAGAACAGAAAATGACTTGCAAAAGATGCTCAAGACTTTATGTGATTCAGGACATCTGTCGGAGTCGGATTATTGGAAATTAAGACCTTTTGATTCCACGGCAGCAGCATTTTATGGCCTTCCCAAAGTCCATAAAATTCCGCTAAAAGAAGAACACGACCACTTCACCATTGAAAAGAAAAATCCTCCAACACAGATCCCCTTAAGACCAATAAATAGCTCGATCGGATCACCGACATATCAGGTGTCCAAGCACTTAGCGGGAATTTTACAATCATTGTATGAAGAGAATGGTTACTCAGTTAAGAATGCACAAGCTTTTTCGGAGTTTGTGTGTACCCAGAGAGTTGAGAAAGATGAAATGGTTGTATCATTTGATGTTATTTCACCATTCACTTCCATCCCCGTAAAAATGGCTGTGGATGTAGTGAAGCGATGACTTTCTGAATCCCACAAATGGAAAGGATGTACACTTTTGACTGCTAAACAAGTCGTAAATCCTCTGGTATATGTCTTGAACAACAGTTTTTTCAAATTTCAAGGAAACGTTTTTCATCAAGTTTCAGGGTGTGCCATGGGATCACCGGTGAGTGCCAATGTCGCGGAACTTATTATGCAAGAAATCGAAGGAATAGCTATAACGACAGCGCTAGTTGACTTGAAATGGTGGAAACGTTATGTAGACGACTCCATGAAGATTTAATTGTATATAATAGATCATGCAGTTACAACAATAAACGACAACATGTCTCTTACTGATCGCACAACCAGCATATATATATATATATATATATATTTATATATATATATATATATATATATATATATATATATATATATATATATATATATATATATATATATATATATATATATATATATCATAATAATAGTAATAATAAATAATAATAATAATAATAATCGGAGAAAACAAATTTGTCACCTCATGAATTAGAACAGTTGCAGCGTGTTCGGTCCGATTTATGTGAACTTGCTTCTCAGAGATTGGAGAGGGCAAAAATTCGGAGTCGTGTTAGAATCATCAGGAACAATGAGAAGCCTTCACGCTTCTTTTTATGTAATGCGCCTAAACATGGCTGCAATGTATTTGTGCTCTTGTGTTTTATTGATTTTATCTGTGCTTTTTCATGTTTTATTCCATCAAACTATCGACCATGGTGAACATAATGCTATATTCGATCAAATCGAGAGTCCTGGAAGTTGGCACAAACGTTATTTCTTATACAAGGACGGCGGACATTATCCATCACGACCATTATATGCCTGGATAAAACACGGCTATATCTGTTACATTCTTCCACAGAAAGACCTTACAATCTATGTGGATGTGCAGCTAAATCCAGGGCCTATCAGATCGTTTAATAACTGTCAGAATATTTCGGGGCAGACCAGTGTATTACATAGTCAGAACTGCTATCGAAATGCTGACATTACAACAACAACAACAACAACTGGGTCTGGGCGTCATATGTATGACAATATATTATTACAATTGTCGCATTTAGCGGCGAACAGTTTGTGTTTCTACAATAATCGTATTCCGGCTGGAGCCGCTTTAGGGTGGCCATATGTTTGCAAAACTAATCGAAGCTATCGTGGTAAGAGAAGTGGGAAAAAAGTAAAGCAGAGGGAAGCCTCGAAGTATTTTAATATACGAGTTATCGGTAATTCACCTATGGTACAAAGGTAAAAGAAATTTGCATATAATTCCACGCGAAATTCTTATTATAATAATCTCGTACAAATTCCTCTGGAATCTGTTTCAAATTGCGGACCTCGTTTACGGTTTGCGGTATGGAATGCACGTTCAATTAGAAACAAAATAACTTCGCTACGTAGAGTTTTTTCCAACGAAATGGAAAGAATCTCTTCTGCGGCCTCTTATCAAGAAAATGTCATTAGATCGAGATGAATTAAATAATTTTAGGCCAATCTCAAATTTAGCATTTCTCTCCGAAACACTCGAAAAGATTGTTGCTTCTCAACTTGACACCTATTTAACAAATCATCAATTATAGGCCAAGATGCAGTCAGCGTACAGATTCCATCACAGTACAGAGACAGCACTACTTGGAGTTGTGAATGACGTAATGATGGGGATTGATGATCAACAAGAATGTGTTCTAGTGTTACTTGATCTTTCATCAGCATTCGACACAATTGATCACGACATTTTGCTTGACAGGCTGTGTAATCGTTATAGTCTTTCGGGGGTAGTTCTGGATTGGCTAAAGTCTTACCTCTGTGATCGCCCTCAGCGCGTGGTCGTAGATAATGTTTCTTCACAACCGTGTTTCGCTAGCTGTGGGGTTCCGCAAGGATCTGTTTTGGGACCATTGTTGTTCTCTTTGTACATTGCTTCCCTCGAAGATGTGATCCATGTCCCATGGAATAGATGCCATGATGTATGCTGATGATTCTCAACTTTATATTTTTCTGAATCGTAATAACCGCATTATCTCAACTGAAAAGTTGGAAGCCTGTATTGACGACGTTATGAATTGGGTCACTTGCAATATGCTTATGGGCAATCCATCAAAGACGGAAGTAATTCATTTTTATTCACGTTACATGAAACCTGATTGTCCTTGTAAAAAGCATTGAGACTCATGTATAATGCGTTTTAAAGAACAATTATATTATTATTATTATTATTTCCAACGTGAACGGTACAATGCATCTAAGAAACTGGTTACTGCGTTGAAAACAGTCAATGGTCGTGGATTCCGACGGCCGATGATGAAAGAAAGGTGCGGTTTTAGAAAAACTTATATACTGCCCAATTGGTTGACGCTCGTGCGCAGGAGGAGGTGCTCCTTTCGGAGGAAGAATGTCTAGCTTCCCTTCATGCAATGCCGGCACTTCGAACACCGGGCTCTGATGGTCTACGTTTGTTTTTGGGAAACACTGAAGAGTGACTTTGTGTTAATGGTCAATTCGTGTCTGGATAAATTAGGCGAGCTCCCTCTCTCACTTCGTCGTGCGGTTATCACTTTGTTATTTAAGAAAGAGGATCCGGAAAACCTTAAGAACAGGAGGCCGATATCGTTATTAAACGCTGATTACAAATTAATTACAAAAGTGATTTCTCAACGTCTTGGAGTAGTTATGCCGTCTCTAATTCATCCTGATCAATCTTGTGCTGTGCCTGGCAGATCATCGGAATATAACGCAACTCTGCTTGGAGACATTTCAGACTATATAGAATAAAACACTCTTAAATGTGCTTTCATTGCTATTGATAAAAAAAGGCGGCTTTCGATTACGTTGACTGGGGTTTTATGCACAAGATACTAGCTTGCATGAATTTTGGTCCAATCATTCGTGGAATTATTAAATGTCTGTATACGCGTGTCCAAAGTGCTATTCTTAGTAATGGAACTTTGTCTGAGTTCTTTGACGTTCATAGAGGAGTTCGCCAGGGATGTCTGTTATCCCCCTTGCATTTTGTTCTTGTTTCGGAATGCTTTGGCCAACTGGTTAGATCTTGCAAAGAAATACAAGGTCTTACGTTGCCCGGCGGACGTAAATCGAAGATCAGTCAATATGCTGACGATAACACTTGTTTCGTCACTAACGATTATTGCCTTTTGGAAGTGCTTAATGTTTTTTAACAGTACGGACGTGCGAGTGGCGCTAAATTGAATCGAACCAAGTCTAAGGGTCTTTGGCTCGGCCGGTGGAGACAGCGATCGGATTCCCCTGGAGGGCTTATGTGGTCGAATAGCGCTATCAAAATCGTTGGGTTTCATTTGGGGGATGAGAGTGCTTTTGCAAAAACATGGGAAGCCGGAATGGTGAAGTTTTCCAAAGTTTTGACGGAATGGAAGTCGCGTTTCCTGACGCTGCGAGGTAAATGTACTGTCATCAACTCCTTGGCGGCAGCCTCTGTTTGGCACCTAGTAAGGATTTACCCACCTACTCGAGAGATTCTGGACATTTTGCGGCAGTGGCGTGCTGGGTACTATTTTTCTGGGGGGGCAGTGTGCTGTCAACCAATATGCGCCCCTCTAATATTACACTTGATAAACGAGGGCCGAAGGCACGAGCCGAGCGCCGAAGGTGCGAGGTTTGTCTAGGGGGGTCCGGGGGCATGCCCCCCAGGAAAATTTTTGAATTTAGAGTCTCTGAAATGCCATTTCCTGGACTTTGGGGACGATTTGACAGAAATCTGATGGTCAGGAAACAGCATTATAACGTGTCGAAATTTGCAATTTGTACCTAAATTATGCAATGCTAGCCATTTCCAGCGATTAATCTAATCCCAATTCTATTCTCTACTGATCTAGTGATCTGAATACATTTACAATCTTACAGCTCTTTTATACAATAATACACGGACCCCACGCATATGCATTTTAAGGTTTCCTTGCCTGGCTGCCAAAAGGGCGCGTTTCAGCATTATTTCATTACTTACATTACTTACATTACTCATGATGTTTCTTGCGCAAACAACTAAATTACGTACACAACTTTACATTATCATAACTTCAACTATCTAATTTGCGCCGCTCTCGTGAGGCATAATAAAGGGCGTAATATAAGGGCATAATACCAGCAAAAAAGGGCATAATTCCCGTGATCACTTCCAAACCTGACCAATATTTCGGTAATGAGACATTGCGTTTGATCACTGATCATGTTTCTATATAAATGATTTCGTGTGCGCCGTAAAGTAGCAAAATTAATACGGCTTAATAGACAAAATAGTCTGTAATTTAATATATCACTTTGTCGTTTTCTTGGCGGAAGTAACTATATTTTTTCGAATGCGTTTTTTCCCGCCCATTTTCAAAATTCGGCGCGGGATCGGCCCCCCCTTTTCATTTCTGCGCCCCCAAGAATTGCCAGCTGGGGCGGGGGGCGTGCCCCCTGCCAGCACGCCACTGTTTTGCGAAAAGCGATGTGGAAATTTATTTGGTCCAATAAACCTGAACTCGTACGTCGGGAAATTTGTGTCTCTGATCAACTTCTGGTGGCTTGAAAGCAGTAGATATCGAGACGCGGAGCAAGTGTTTGTTAATTTCGCGTGTATTTAAGTTCTTAGACAAGGGGGCGGCCTCTTGGAAGGATTTGATGCGATATTATATCGGGCGATCTATTGGTGTCAACGATAATAGCAAGCCTAATTGTGACACGCCTTCGTACGGCATTGTTCTTCGAGTCTTGCGGGAATTGCAAGTGGATGTAGCCACTCCCAAGTCGTCGAGCTATTTCTATGCCATGGCAATTACTAATAAAGTCATCCTCGTTAGACCAGCATGTCAAATAAAGTGGGATACAAACTTCCGTGGATTGATTTGGAAGGATATTTGGAAACGTATTCATTCGGGGTTGGAAGATCCAGTATTAGAGAAAAAAATTTACCGCCGGCATACTAACACGAATATTTAATCCGCTGTCTGCATGTAAGACGTTTTTAAAAAATCACAATATTTTGTTTGCTTCAAGTGATCAGGATAATTTTTCGTTTCTGTTAATGCTTAAACAGGAAATAATAAAATATATAAGTTTCAAGAAGTTAGAATAAAAGCGCGAGATGAAAGTGAGATATAAAAGAGCTCTAATATCACTTGCGTAATTAACCGTTTTAAGGTTACAGGACACCCTTTTTGGCGTTTTGGGAAAATCGCTACTGCGCGCTCAATATCAGTCCGATTTTCATCAAATTTTCACCAAATATTCGCCAGTGCATGCAAAATATGGTAAAGTTTTAAAATTAACAAACAATAAAATAATGTAAGAATTATTCAGGAAAATCTTAAATCGCGGTACCATTACGCTTTTGAGTTGTGCTCCTGTTGGTTTTAAGTTATATTTATGAAAATATCATTTTTATACAGCCAAATAGTTGATCTAAAAAATTGTGTTTGGAAATTTTTGTTATTTCGTCTTTCCGTTGATATGGCGATTCCTTTGACGACTGCAACATATTTCTGATTTGTTTGAGTGAATTGCTCTTTATTATTAAAATATCCAAAATTAAAA